AACATACCTATAGCACCTAATCTTCAGTGAGAAAAGGATTCAAAAGGTCTGAAAGGAATCCAGCTGTTTCCGCTATCTGGCTGAAGCTTGCAGGAGGAAGGAGGAACCCTATGTTAATGGTTTGCACCTGGGGATGAACTGAGAAAGCTGTCGCTATTATTCTTTGGACAAAACCCCAGAAGCCACCAATCTACTTTGGGTGAATTCCTTAGGGGAATTTTTTCTCCAGCGTCTCCCAGCAAACTTGCCCTAGGAACTTTTAGGCCTAGGCTTTAGAAGGGGTTTTTGTTTTAATATTTGTCCATGGGTATCAAGGGCTCATGTATTAAGTTAATATCAAACATAACTGAATAATCTGATAAAGAACAGCCATGTTTGCCAGGTGGCCAGAGCTTGTTCCTCAGAGAGATTTGTTCCCAGGACCCTACGCACTGCCAACACAGTGGAGACATTAAGGGAGGCACATAAGAAACCATTTTCTCAGAAGCTACAATTACTGGAGTTCGAAGCATAGAATGAATTAATAGGACTAAAGGAAATTACACAGAGCTAGCCCAACAGTGAGTTCGTACAAGCCAATGAACCCGGGATGTCTGGAGGGCTCTCAGGGTCCCTGGATAGCAAGCCTGAGTGGCGCCGCTGTGTTGGTTTTTTTGTCCATGACACAGGGCCGCAACAGCTCAGTGATTGCAGTCTGCAACATTTCTGACCTATATATAGTCCTATAGGGTTTCTGTGATTGGAAATCTTTATGGGAAAGACAGCCTCATCTTTCTCTCCCTTGGAGGAATTGGTAGGTTTGAACCACTGACCCTTCAGTTAGTAGCCCAATGCTTAGTCATGGCTCCACCAGGGATTCTTTTTGGTAGAATAGTTTTGTTAAGATACTTTTGTTTAATTATAACAGCAACACATGCACTTTGTAACACATTCAACATTATTGACATCTATAAAGTAGCAAGTGAGGCCTGGTAGCACAGTAATTAATGTTCAGCTGCTAACTGAAAGGTCGACAGTTCAAATCCAGCAGGAGCTCTGCTGGGCAGAAAGATCTGGCAGTTTTCTTCCATAGGAATTTACTGCCTCGGAACTCCTGTGGGAAGCTCTACTTAGTCAATCCACTCAAAGGTGTAAACTCCAATGCAACAGGTTTTTGTGTTGGTTTGTTCGTTTTTTCAATTAAGGTAGCCAAAAGGAGGTACAATTCCTACCATGCTGCTCTCCCCAGAAGAAACTTCAGTTACATTTTATCTAGGTTGCTATTTTATTTCACTCAGCTGTGCAGGAAGCTGGAGTCAAACACCTTTGCCTTGTAACAGCTGTAGTGGCAGTTGAGGGCAAACTGGGAGTGTGGTTTCAATGACGTGCCTTGTGCTCAGACTCTTGGGGGTGGTGGTTACCCAACTCTCCTGAGAGGGGAACTGAGCCCTGAGACAGCTTTCGCTCCATGATGTTCACACTGCCTCCAATATTTATACTGAGAAACAAGTCCTGAAATCATTCTGATTCTAGAAGTTGCCCTACACGAGAGTATGTATTTGCACAGATGTAAAAAGCCTGGAGAAGGATATCATGCTTGGTAAGATGGAGGGTTGGAGAAAAAGAGGAAGACCCCTAACGAGATGGATTGGCCAGGTGGCAGCATTGATGGATTCAAGTGTGGCAGCGGTAGTGAGGTTGGCCCAGGATCGGACATTGTTTCGTTCTGCTGTTCATGGGGTCGCTATGAGTCGGTTCCGACTCGATGGCACCTGACAACAACAACAAAAAGCCTGTGTGCTGTACTTCTCTGGACCAATAGCAGCACTGGGTCTGAGAGGCTCCGGCTGGGTTCTGGAGAGAGAGAACAGAAAAAGGCAGATGGAGCTAGCATGCCTGACAAGGCTTTATCAGGGGACCCCAGACAGATGTTGACACCAAGATTCTCGTGGGGGGCAGTTAAGTGTTGAGTGTCACTGGGGTGCAGGTCTGTTCAAGGCAGTGGGGGAGGGGAGAGAACGAGTGCTTAAATGCAAGGACATGTGGTGGGGGGTCAGGAAAAACCACGTCTAATCTAGCATGGATGGGGGTGTTTTTGTATTGGTGAGTGGGTTTCATCTGACGTTACCACAAAGTCAGATGTTTGGTGTGCTTTTTCCTGGCCCAGATGGCTGCTCAGTTAGGCACTCTGGTTCTCTCCCTGAGTCCTTTGCAGGCAGGATCCATCTTGTATTGTTTAAGGTCCTCACAATGGGTCCAGGGACATCTCCTGCAGCCTTGTCTGTATGAGGGAGTGATTGGAAAAGACCTCAACAGGCACCTATAGGGAGCTGGGGATGTAAGGCGGAAGCTCCGCGGCAGCTGAAGAAGTAAGATTATTCTACTCTTGGGACTTTATCCTGTCCTGGTGGTATAGTAAGTTAAGTGTTGGGCTGCAAACACTGAAGTTGGCATTTCAAATCCACTAGCTGCTCTGTGGGATAGAGATGAAGCTGTCTGCTCCCGTAATGATTTGCAGCCTCAGAAACCCTGTGCAGGGTCGCTATGAGTCAGAACCGACTCCACGGCACATAACCACCACCACCACCATAGGGTTAATATTGTGGCGCTGTGGGTTTTAATGTGCCAGACTGCAAAGCCGCTTGAACTGCAAGGTCGGGGGTTCAAGCTCACCAGCTGCTCCTTGGAAACCCTGTACCGGGTTGCTATGACTCAGAACCGACTTGAAACACTTCACAGCAATAGGTTTGATGAGCCGGCTTGTTGGCAGTGGGTTTACCCTACAGACCTATCTACAAATTTAAGAAACAGATAGGGCCTCCTCACCCCGTACCCCCAGCATTGTTTGAGGATAACAAACATATCGGAAGTTGTTCAGCTGACCCTCAATAAGTGCTTAGAAAGCAGAGGCTGGTACAGGCAAATTCTCTGCGGCTGTGGAAAGAGCACCAGAGCTCTGCTGAGGGCTGATGGGCAGATCTCCAGGACGTGACAAGCAGCTACAGCAAAGTTTGATCTTTGAGGATGTTGAAAATGTCCTCCATCTTGACTGTGATGGTGGGTCTCTGGGAGTGTGCATTTGTCAAAACTTCTTCAACTATATACACTGTGTTACTGATTCCACAATAGCAGCCCTTTGCACAGTGGTTTAGCACTCTGCTACACACTGAAAGGTTGGCAGTTCGAACCCACCAGCCACTCCGCAAGAGAATGATGAGCAGTCAGCTTCTGTAAAGAACACCGTGAGGCGGGTCTCTTCTTTTAGGATCACCATGACCCAGTTGCCATGTTTTGTTTTGTTTTGAAGACCTCAATAAAGTTGTGGTAAGCACTGGACTGCTAACTGCAAGGCTGCGGCTCAAATGTACACATTGCTTCTTGGAAGCCCTGATTGGGTCACTATGAATTGGAACCGACCTGATGGCACTGAACAATTAACTTGATGTTTAGAAAAGCAAGGTGCAGGTCAGTGGGAAGGAAGGGGAAGAAGTAACTCACATCTGCTTTATTTGCATAGAGAAAGTGTGTGTGGCGCTGTAGGCTAATGCACTGGACCATAAGGTCAGTTTGAACTGCAAGGTCGGTGGTTCAAATCTACTAATTGCTCCTCAGAAACCCTATACAGGGTGTTTCTATGAGTCGGAACTGACTCTACAGCACTTAACAACAAGTGTAGAGAAACACTAGAAGGAAACATAAACCGTGTATAAAAAGTTATCTCCTTTTAGGAGACTGGGAAGAGTAGAGTGAACAGGGTGGGCGTTCCCAGGGTGGGAATGAGACATTCCAGCTTTCCTTAAACCTTAGATTTTTGAAGCCTATGAATATACTGGTATGGCACTGCGGGTGAATGCACTGGCCTGTCAGGTCGGTTTGAACCACAAGGTCAAGCTTACCAGCTGTTCCTCACAAACCCTTTACAGGGCTGCTGTGAGTTGGAACTGACTCGATGGCACTTATCAGGAACAGCAACATGACTGTAGTACCAATTAAACATTTAAAGACAACAGTGAATGTCCTGATGTGAACAATCTTAAGGTTGCGGTTAAGTAGGATGACAAAGTGCAGAACAATGTGTATATTATGTTGCTTTGGTGTAAAAAGACGGAGATGCTTTCATAACAGAGGCAGCAACTGTAAAAGGAAACAAGATAAAAAGACACTGGTGGTTGGCCCTGGGGAGGCAGACTCAGGACTGCAGATTTGGCCGGGGAGGAAGACTGTGGGTGGGGCTAAGAGATGTGAAAGCTGGACAGTGACTAAGGAAGACCATAGAAGAATTGATGCCTTTGAGTTGTGGTGTTGGAGGAGAATACTGAAAGTGCCATGGACTGCCAAAAGAACCAAGAGATCTGTGTTGGAAGAAGTGCAGCCAGAGTGCTCCTTGGAGGTCAGCATGGCCAAACTTCGTCTCTCCTACTTCGGACATATTGTCAGGAGGGACCAGTCACTGGAGAAGGATATCATGTTTGGTAAAGTGAAGGGTCAGAGAAAAAGAGGAAGACCCCCAGAGAGATGGATTAGCAAAATGGCAGCATCAGTGGGCTCAAGCATGGCAACAATTGTGAGGCTGGCCCAGGACCGGGCAGTGTTTCGTTCTGTTGTGCATAAGGTCACTATGGGTTGGTACTGACTCAATGGCACCTAACAACAAGAGATGGAGATGCGGAGCTACAACTCAGGGGAGTTCTGGCAACTTGTCAAGGAATGAGAGGAGAGACACTGGGGCACACTCTCTATTCTTTTATTGAATGGCAGGGTGACCTGATTCCGGAGAAAGCTTCCCTTCCTGCCCCGCCCCTCCAAGCCCAGCCAGCAGGTGTAGGCACACTCTGGCCCATACATGTGTCCAGGTCTCTTCTGCATCCGTGGGTGTCTGTGATGCAAGTGCCATGTGGCAACACAGTTCCTCAGCTGTGGTGCTGCTCTGCCCTAGCACTACAGACCTGTGGGTGGGGGCTCACCTACCCACTGTTGTAAGCCCCTTTGCCTCAGGTCTCTGAGCAGGACCCTCCTGGGGCTCAGGGCCTAGGTCGTCTGGGCAGGCTGGTCTTGAAGAGGGACTTGCCAGAGGCCTCAATGTAAGTGATGCTCATCTCTTTGGGGCCGATCTCTAAGTAGGCAAAACCGCCCAGTGAGTCCTCAACCCCATAGTGGAAGCGCAGGTAGCCATCCGGAACTTTGTGCTGGTGCTGTTTTGAGGGGTCCATGAAGTTCCCGGCTCCACTCAACACATAGCCCACACCTTTCTCATCCTGAAGGTACTGCAGATAGGAAGACACAGGTCTCAGTAGAGTCCTTAGTCCCCCATGGCCATCTGCCTCACTCCAGGGTCACCTTGGGCAAGGTACACAACCCTCTGTGCCTCAGTTTCCTCAAATGGAGATGTTTCAACTCCACAGATAGAGCACCAACCAAACAAGTGGCAAATGGCTACTATCATGAAGGCTTTTAGGGAGCCTTGCCAAGGAGCCCTGGTGGCACAGTAGTTGAGTGCTTAGCTGCTAACCTAAAGGTCAGCAATTCAAACCCACCAACTGCTCCTTGGGAGAAAGATATGACATTCTACTTCTGTAAAAATTAAAAAAAACACAAACAAGCAAACGTACTGCCGTGGAGTTGATTCTGACACATAGTAACCCGGCAAGACTGAAAAAACTGCCCCATGGGATTGCTAAGGCTGTCAGTCTTTACGGAAGCACATTGTCACATTGTTTTCCTCAGGGGTGGCTGGTGAGTTCAAACCGCTGACATTTCAGTTAGCAGTGCTATGCTTTAACCATGGTGCCACCAGGACGTCTTTCTAGAAAGATTTCCAATTTGGAAGCCCCACGGGGTGGTTCTACTCTGGGTAGGGTTGCTAGGAGTCAGAATGGACTCAGTGACAATAGGACTTTTTTTTAGGGAGCTTTGGGGTGTTTTCCTGGTTAGTCATAGCATCTGAGGGGTAACTATGCCATTGGTCAGGGTGGGTACACCTTACCTGGTTCCCCAGCTCTCTCCCCTAAGCCCCTCACCTGCAGATTATGGTCGTGACCACACAGGTAGGCGCTGACCCCATACATGGCCAACAGTGGCTGCAGTTTCTTGACAAGGCAGTGGGTGGGCCCGTGTTCAGCTATGGACCACACCGGGTAGTGGCCAGCTATCAGCACGTAGTCCTCTTTGGCTGAGGCCAGCTGTTTTTTGAGCCAAGACAGCTGGGTGCGGGCCAGTGCCTGGTCACGAGGCCCTTCAGGCTGCTGACTGAGGAAATCGTCTGAGTTGCCACACAAGGTCACTGTGTCCAGCATGAAGATGGCCACAGACACATTGGTCCGTGGGACCTTGAAGCGAAGGCGGTAGAAAGGGCTGGGGAAGTTCCTATGGAGGAGAGAGAGGCTGGGGGGCAGCCATTGGGGCAAAGCAGCCCTGGGGGAGAGGTGGGAGGCTCAGGCTCAGGCCAAAGGACCTCTTTGTCCACCTGAATGTGTGTCTCAGGTGGGGCAAGGTGGGCAGGCTTACCAACGCTTGGAGATCTTGGAGTATGCAATCTGTGCCGAGACATTGCCAAGGTGGTCATGGTTTCCGGCTAGCACGTACCAGGGCACATTGCGAAGGGAGGGGGCAGAGAAGACATCTTCAAAGGTTTCCTGCAGGAGATCCCCCAAATGCCTGGGGTCAAGCAGCGATCCTGGTCCTCCCACGGGGGGTCATTGAATGCTCCAGGTGTCTGCAGGTGCCTCATCTGCTTCCCTCTGCCCTACCCAGAGGAGGGCCACTAGGGAAGGTGGCTTCTCCCCACTGCCCCCTCCCTGGGAGCCCGGTGAGCACACACCTGGAACCTCTTGTCATAGGCATCCCGCACACCAGTGAAGTAGAAGTTGTCCCCTAGGGACAGGATGAAGTCTGCACCCAGTGTCTGTACGGTTCTTGCAATCTCTTTAGCACTGGCCATTTCGCGGGCTGTGTGGAATGGGGCATTGGGGATCCCTCCCCAGTCACCTACGGCCACAAAGCGCAGGGCAGGGGCTGCGCTGTCAGCCCAGGGGTGGGCCAAGGATGCCTGCAGGATGATGGTCAGCAGCACTGTCCATGTGTCCATCTGGGAGGAGAGAGATGTGCCTCTGGGTTCTCGGGGCTGTGGCAGGGGCAGAAGGCCCTGGAGACCCCCTTCTCAGTTGCGTCTGAGGGAGGGGAGATGGCTCCCTGCAGGGAAGGCCCAGTGGGATCACCTCTGTATCCTAGTTCCCAGGACAAGTGTTGGTCAGGGGGGATAAAGGCAGGCAGGGTCCTGTGAGGGGCTGGGTAGGGGAGTCTGTGCAGGCCTGCTGGGCCCTCCCTTATCCTAGTCTACGCTGATTTGGACGTCCTGTCCAGCACTCACCCTAGGGGATGCACAAGCCAGTCAGTGGAGGCTCCGAAAGGCAGTGGGCTCCAAGGCAGAAACGGTGGACACTAGACTTTATTCCCTGGGGCGGAAGTGGATCTTAAGTGGACATGATTCAGTTTCTCCGTCTGCTGAGTGTTCCAGGAATCTTCCCCTTGGATCATGTGAGCCTTGGACTTCCCCAGCTGGGCATGTGGGACTTGGGGTGGGGTGTCTGTGTGCATGTGTGCACGCAGTCTTACCTGCTCAAGTTATCTTGGGATATAGGTGCAGACATCTGTTCAGCCTCTGAGTCTGCCCTTGTGAGCTTGTCTATGCTGTGGGCCCCAGATGCCCTGTGTATCTATGTTGTGTGTTTAACTGTGTCTGCTATATTCTATGTCTGTGTCCTCAGGGTTATCTGTCTGCTTGAGAGGCCCCAGTTTGTGGCAATGTGCACACCCCAGGCCCACGTGCATCTCTGCAATGTGTACCGGCCAGCTCCTGAGGGGTTGTGTGGGTGGGTGCAGATGGGGATGTGCACACTTGAATCGTATTGCCCATGGTCATGTTGTGTCTGCACTGTAGTTCTAATGGGAGTTGTGTGTCTAGTGTGTGATGTGTGTTTAGTAACATCTGAGTGTGGAGGCTCTGTATGTTGTCTCAGTGCACACACACACACACACACACACACCCCACTTCTTCCTTTTTCGGGAAGTTCCCACCCTCCTCCCCCACATTCCTGAAGGAGGAACTCAGGCAGCAGGAGGTTGGTGACATGCCATGTGACCACAACCTTTGTCCCTGTGCCCTCAGGGGCTGCCTGCAGTTTCTGAGGACAGGACACAGAGTTGGGGCCCCTGTCCTGAGGCCTGTTGGCCCTGCACCTCACCTACCTGCCTCTCTCTTCCGGAGGAGGATGCAGAGCTCTCACTCCCAGTTCGGGACGAGTCACGTCACTTGCGACCTCACTAGTTCCTCCAGTCTCTGCCAAGACGAAGAGGGGCCTCACTCATTCCAAGCCCAGGATACAGGCACACAGAGTTCGGGTGCCTAGCCCGGGTCCCCACACCCAGCCTGGGACAAACAGGAAGGAAGCGGGTCACGAGGGCAGGCGGAGACCCCTCCCCCGGGGGCGCAGTGCCGAGGGCGGCGGGGCTCGAGTCCGCACCCACACTGTCCCCCACCCGGCCGGCCTCACCTGCTGGCTGCTGGGCTGCGTGCCGCGCTGACCGCCCTCGCGGGAGTCGAGTTACCGAAATGCCGGACGGGCGTGGGACACTCGCGTCGGAGCTGCCGGGCTATAAGGAGGAGGCGGCCGACCCGCCCTGCCCGCAGGTCCAGGGGCAGGTCCAAGCGATCACCGGCGGGGGAGCCGGGGCCGCTCGGAACTCTGCTTCCTTGCTCCGCTGCCCGCCGTGCGGCCCAGTGCTTTGTCCCAGCCATCGGGCACCCCCACTCCTCCTGGACTCAGGGGTCTCATCTGTAAAATGGAGATAACGAGGCCAGACAGACGAATCGGGCAGGGGAATGCGGCTGGGAACTCGATTTCGACGCCCTTCCCACGCTAGCCGGGAGTCGCCACCTACCTTCGACACTTGGGGCGTCCACGGCTCCGGGTGTCGGAGCTCCCCCTAGGCCCCCGGAGGTTGGGTGGGTGTTGGGCTAGGCTCTCAGGAGGAAGTCAGCTTTCTTAAACCTCTGTTTCCTGGTGTTTAAAATAGGTGCGAGGGGAGAAGATCTAGATCTTCTTAACAGGAGAATTCCAAACAATACTCCCTCTTACGGACTTCTGGTGTGGTGCTCTAGGATAAGCACTGGGCTGCGAACCACAAAGTCCACGGTTCAAACCCACCAGCTTCTCTGAAACCCTGTACTGGGTCGCTGTACGGCACTTAACAATACTCCCTCTACCGGCACTTGAGAGTAGACGCAAAGCCAAAAAAAAAAAAGAAAAGAAAAATTAACTTTAAGTGGAGACACCTGGCAGATCTCTTAACCAACGGATTCAGGTCAACATCACTAGGGATAGGTCATGTTGATTTCCTGTGACCCTGTGATGAGGCACCTGACCTCTCTTCTCCCAATCCCTTGTTGTTATTAGGTGCCACGGAGTCGATTCTGACTCACAGCGACCCAATTATGTACCACAGAATGAAACACAGCCCTGTCCTGTGCCAATATCACAACCACTGCTGTGTGTGAAGCCATTGTCTCAGCCCCTGTGCCAATCCTGACCCCAGTGTGTTGTTGTTAAGTGCCATTGAGTCAATAAAGACCCTGTATAGGGTTTCTCAGGACCCGTTGGTGGGTTTGAACTACCGATCTTGTGATTCGCAGTCCAGTGCTGATCCTATAGCTCCACATCAGAAGTCCTCATGATGAGAAAAACACCAGATGCCTGACCAGCAGTCTTCCAAAGGAATCATAAAACGTGGGGAAGGAGTCAGATTGGAGTACATTAAAGGAGGTATGGAGTCATGGTGTGGAACTGTAGGATAAACACTAGGGTTCAAATCCTCCAGCTGCTTCTTGAAGACCTTATACATGGTAGCCATGAATTGGAACCTAACGACAACAAGGGAGTCCAGGAGGTAGGCACAGAGATTAAACACTCAGCTACTCATGCTCCTTGGGAGAAAGATGTAGCAGTCTGCTTTGTACAGAGGACAGCTTTGGAGCAATTCTAACCCTATGGGGGGGTCTCGATTTATAGAAATGGACTTTTGATGAGGTAAGGAAACAAGCAATGTCCTGGGTCGGAAAGAGGATGTTGGTAGAAAAATGGGTTAAATACTAATCCAATTTGGAGTTTTGTGAATAGTGAGGTATCACGGTTAATTTCTCAGATGTGACAAATGTACTGTGCACAGCCTAGAATCATCAAACATTCACAATCCAAAGGGTGGCATTTACCTAAGGACAATGTTCAGAAGAGTTGGGGAAGAAGGAAGAATGCCAACAGGAACCACAATGAGGAAGTGGGATAAATGATGTTATATCGTGGTAATTGGAACCATTGAGATGAAATACAGCGTATGATTTGCTGAATGTTAAACTGATTATCTCCTTTGCAAACCATCACTTAATCCACACTGGAAAGTTAAAACATACACACAAAAAGATGTTGTTGTTGTTGTTATGTGCTGTGGAGCTGGTTCCGACTCATAGCGACCCTGTACAGGGTTTCCAAGGCTGTAAATCTTTACGGGAGCAGAAAGCCTCATCTTTCATGGAACAGCTGGTATTTTCGAATTGCTGACCCTGAGGTTAGCAGCCCAATTTGCAACCACTACGCTATATGTAGTCCTGGTGTGGAACTGTGGGTTAATGCGCCAGACTGCAAAGCCGTTTGAACTGCAAGGTCAGTGGTTCAAGCTCACCAGCTGCTCCTCGAAAACCCTATACAGGGTCACTATCGGTCAGAATTAACTTGACGACATTTAACAACATCAACAACAACACTACATGTAAAGATGGGGGAGAGGTATACTAGAGCTCTCAGCAAGATTGTTGCACCTTTTGGTGGAAATCTAAAATTATTCCAAAATAAAAGTTTACTGACAACATGGATGCGATTCAAGAACTTAAAAATAAATGAATTCCACCAACATTAATTGAAGGCTCTGGAGGACACAGCTATGCACACAACACAGACACAAGTTTCTGTAACAGCGGGGCTGATGTGAAAGTAGAATTTACATTCTAGCTGTTAATTAATTACCTTTCCTGGTTTTTAGGGGGATAGGGGTGACTTAAGGGACACTCCCTTTTGCATGCTGTACTTTTGTATGTGGTTTGAATTTTCTCTTGAAAATCTCTTTTAGTTGTTTTACCAGTGGACTAAAAGCAGAATCACTCCTAACTTATTTGTATTAGAAATGTAAAGGCAAGGAACAAATTACACCTCAAATTCTGGGCAGTGGTTGTTTCTCTGGTTGTTATGTTATGTGCCATCGAGTTGGTTCCGACCCATAGCGACCCTGTATAGGGTTTCCGAGGGTGTAAATCTTTACGGGAGTAGAAAGCCTCATATTTCTCCCGCGGAGCGGCTGGTAGTTTCGAACTGCTGACCTTAAGGTTCGCAGCCCGATTCGTAACCACTACGCTACCAGAGCTCCATATTGTTTCTCTGGTGGGGGCAGGAATTAAACGCAAACCAAACCAGTTGCTTTCCAGTTGCCTCAGACTCCTGGTGACATACTCCTGGTAATGTCAGAGGAGAACTGTGTTCCATAGGGTTTTCAATGGCTGATTTTCTTAAATAGATCTTTAGGCCTTTCTTCCAAGGTACCTCTGAGTGGACTTGAACTGCCAATCTTTCAGTGAGCTGTCAAGCACGTGACTATTTATATCACTCACAATGGAATTGAGATTACGGGACAATGGAGAGTGGGCTTCAATTTTATTCCTTTCTTTCTCAACAAAAAAGAGGGTGGGGCAGAAATGTATCTGAAGCATTTGCTTCTTCATGTGGTGGGTGTAGGAATGCATTTGGACTATCCTCTGTGCTTTTCTGTATTTTTTAAATTAAAAACATTACAGACTGCATCTTCGTGGTGGCCTCCCTGGTTCTGAGTTTGCTACCTTTTCTCCATACATCCACTGGAACCCTCACCTGCCGAGTGTGCATACAGGTGGATCAAGCTTTAGCCCATCGCCTCCCTCTCCTCCACACTTCCCCTGACTCCCAACAACAGTGTAGATTGCCTGAGTTCCTGAGCTCCTCCCTCTGC